AATGGGGACGGAAATCTCAGTCAGTATGATGGAACATGTCTCCTTGGCCCTTCGTAAACCAATACCCTGGAGCAAAAATATCCCTTTTAAATTTTCAGATTGTTTTTTTCTAATTTTAATGGGTACAGGTTTGCTGCTACAGGGAGAGAGTAATAAAGTGTGTATTTCATTGAAATTATAAACATACTACTTTAACATACTAAATTATTTTATTTTAAGCTCTACAAAATAGTTTAGAAAGGAAAAGAAAAAAGTGCATGTTTTGGGGGTAACAAATGGGAAGACCTAATTTTTACCCATATTTTTAACGAATTTGAACGGTTAGTATATTTTGTCCCGTGTTCACTTTTTCGCTTGGTTCGAGATGTTTCTTATGTCTTACCATGAGAAATACGGTTATAATGATAACCTATTCTCTATACGGGATCATGCTAACCACGAAACCAACAAAACTAACAGAAACAAACGTTTGGTTTTTTAGCTGTATAAAATAATTAATTAGGTATGTCAGGAATCAGCAACATATACACTAAATCTGTGTGTGTGTGTGTGTGTGTGTGTGTGTGGGGGGGGGGGGGGGGGGTGCTTGCTAGGTTGCTAACCTTAATTGGTTGATTTGATTATCCGACTTTAAAATTAAAACTTCTTTATAGCACAAGGAAGTGTGACTCTTGTGTAAAATCAAATATTATTTTTGAAATCTAAATGGCATGCTTACCAAAATCTCACGTAATGATATTTCACAAGTAACGCGATGCGTAATGGTTTTAAATAATGTAAATGTTGCATCATCAAAATCACCGACATCATAATGACGTCACCGGTGGAGTTATTCCATGTTTGGGAAACACCTATGATTACACTTGTAGCGAATTACTGTTTCTTGTTATTTGTGCAGCACGCTTGTACATCGATGTTTGTACTGATAAAACACACACTTGTATACTGTAATCATAAGGCATAAGTTTACTGATCACTCGTGAAAAAAGATCGCGTTGCGATGAAAAGTTGAAACAGATTTCTTGCAGGCTACAGTTTATTTTGAATCGGAATTTTGTATTTTACTTTTTGGTTTAACTGTAGGGTTCACTATACTATTCATGTAAGTATAAGTATACCCCCTATTCAGTATACTGCATAAAAACATACAAGAACTATTCAATCCCAGATCCTAATACAGGACATTTCCGCACAAGTTTATTTTAAAATTCAAAGTCGCCATCGTTGTAGATAGTGCAATGGTGATGCAAAGATTCTGGTAAGTTTACTTGTTATGAATTGAGATTTTCTAATGCGGAAAAGAGTTCAGTATTGAGTAGTGTACTCATAGATTTTCAACTTGGCCTCAAAACCCGACCTTGCTGGCAAGGCGCCACCCATTCGATAGTTGACGGGCGATATTGCGATGCGATATATCGAATGAAACACCATAACTTCCACAATGTTTAGCATAGATGGTTCGGATTGAAGCATACAATTTAAATACTCTATGTGAAGATTTTGTGTGCAGACGTGTCCCATATCGTGTTCAGTATTGATATTTAATCCATCTCTTTGACTTGTTTAGTCTGTGTGGATTTTTGTGGTTTTCCAGTTTTGTTTTGGTTTGTGTACTTACCTCGATGTATTTAAGTACCTCCTTACTCAGGACGGGATCTGATTCTAGATCCTGAAACGTGAAAAATTTTTTAACTCGTGATGATAATTTATGTCCGCACTGGCATGAACTACTGGACGCTTCCTTGCTGTATTGGTCCTGTAACTTCTATGTGGTTTTAGAATTTTTGTTTATTTGGTATAATTTGAACTGAGAACGTGAGACAGCCTACGCATAAACCTATATGCGCACTTTCTACTGCAAAAGTTAAAAATTGAGTTTCTCTTAATAGAAATAGTTTCCTTGCAATTTACGAATGTCAATCGTTTAGTAGTGGTCGAAGTGTGTGTTTTAGTGAATTTCTCCTGTAGGGAAGAATCTAATGCCGTAGATGGCATGAAAATACCTAGACGTCTTTACTTTTTCATTTGTATATTCCCAGAGGCATCATTTTTTGTTCAAATTTGTATTTGTGTATGTGTCAGTGAACACGAAAACTAAAGATCATATTTCGATGAAATTTTGCATGGATGTGTAGGGTTGGTTCAACAAAACATGAATGAGTTCGCGGACTAGTAAAACCGAGTAATGGGAACAAGGTGTTTTGACAATTTTCCTACATTATTTTATTTTTACCCTATAACATCAAAATGTCTGATTTTCATTGTATCTGCTGCGTAAAGTATAGATTAGTGTTATAGTAGGCCTACGCGTACAGATACAATTTTAAACTGTATATTAAATGTTCTTTATTGCATTAAGCAATTGTGTATTTTCGACTCGTAACTATCGATTGCGAGTAGTTGTATCGCGATATTGCGATATCGATAGGTTTCGCACGCACAGGGCCGCGACCGCGACCGTGTCTTCGCATGACCTTTGACAAATCCAACCGATTATTGGTGACCTCGCCTGCAGCTGGCTAATATACCCTTGTTAAATCACGACTGGAATACGAGCAGTACACAATCTCTTTAGCACCTCAGGTTTTGCAGAACCAGGCTGGAATGGAGCAATGTAGCCTACTGTATTTGGTGACGTGAAAAGTCTCTTTTACTTTTTTCCCCGATACCTATATGGAAAAGTATTTTTCGTCAAAATTTTCAAGTTTGAGTTTTGGACAGAAATAACCCCGTTGGATCCCCTCGAACCCAATAAAATGGTTTTTGAGATGTAATGTCTGCGTGTCTGTATATTATGTGTGTGGATGTTTACAGAGCAACATACTGCACCGGTGGTCCGATTTTGATGAAATTTGGCATGTTGGTACTAATCCATGGTATCTATAGGGTTTTTTGTGATTTTTTGGATTTTAATGATAGGCTACAGACCTAAAAAAATCGAATTTTCACAAAAAATAATTTTGACAAAAATTTAGATTTAAGCCCAAGTGAACTTCAAACTGTTAACAAAATGACACAACCCACAATGCTGTAAACTGTACAACAGTTATTGCTTTTGTGAATTTTAATCCATCATGATAATGATAATGATTTTTGACAAGCTAATGGGAGGAAGTATGTTCCAGACAAACAGTTTATAACTTGTGATAGAAAATGTCCCCTATAATCCCTTATACGTCTGTTGTGCACGCGCAACAGTACTGAAACACGGCTCATCTGAAGCGTTGGGACGACTCACGGCACAACACCGTTATACGGTTCCTCGTCCTCGGTTTTGGTCGATTTTGTCGACAACATAATAATTGGGTAACTGCCGAGGCTCGCTTTCCCAACGTTCCGCTCTCCCGATTCATTTCCCAACAATGGTTCCCTTCGAGTCTCTGGCCTAGCCGGGTATTTTTGTTCACTTTCGACGGTGACAATTTTCGGAAGTTTCTAAATCCGCAGAGCTGTCAACCGTTGGGTAATTGGAAAGTCCTATGCGGACGTTTTTTGTCTCGGGTGGTTTTTTAGATGCCTACTTGAGTGTTTTTGATATTCTAACCTTGGTTGTGTTAAAGGATGATTTGTTGTCACAAAGTATAAGTAATTAAATTACGATTGATATAGGATTGGAATTTACTACATTGGGATTTGTAGTCTATACAAACTCTTATATAACTCGACCGAACATTTTCGGCGGTTTCTAAATCCGTCGTCGACTTGTCAATTCATATTGTTGAGTAATTCTTGCAAAGTGGTGTGCGTAAGTGTTCCGGACGTTTTAAATGTTAACTTGCTTGCTTTCAACCTTAGGGTAGACCTAGAGTAGTGTTTACTCCTTTAATCTATGGTTCAACAAGTACTGCTGTTTTTTAGCGTCGACTTGTTGTCAGAAAGCGCAATTAATTCAATAAAAAATGGCGTTGGTTGGAAACAACATACAATGTTACGAAAAGCAAGCACTTAATGACTCATTCGAAAATTGTCGGTCTCTAAATCCGTCGTCGACTCCGATTTGTCAATTACGACAGTTCAATAATTCCTTGTTGAGCAAGTTTGCTGCTTTTAACGACTGTTGAATCGTCGACTTGTCACCAAGCCTATGTTGATCAACTTTAAGTTTTGTAGGCAAGCACTTTCATAACTCGACCATCCAGAAATAAAAATAGAACATCGTTTTGCTGCATTGTTTTCTCTACCTATAGCAGAGATGCGCGCATCCAACCACCTTCACCCTCCACCACGTGACGTTACCTCACTCCCCCCCTTCTACGTCACTCTCCAGTCGCGTGACGTAATGCTTTGTTGACGTTGCGTCGCGAAGACATTGTCCGTCTCCAAGAGGTGTATTGTCAATGGCGACGTTGTTATGTTATGGGACCCGGACCGTTGTGTGACAACGCTGTGAAAACGTAATGGAAATGTATTATCGACTATCACGCGTCTGAACACGGGACACAATGTGTTTGTATATGCATGCTTAAATTTCCAATTAATAACCCTAGTAGATTAAAAGTGATTTTTCATGCGCTTTCTTCGGTTTTTCGATAATGAATGATGCAACAATTATTCCAGTAAATGGAAAAAATGACTTTGTTGTGACAAGTGTCGTGAAGCTGAATTTGTCGTTTGATATAACCACACACGTGTATTTTCCATAAAGTCCCCACTTCTTCCCCTTGAGCTTTTCCCTCGCCCCCTTCAAACCTGGGAACGACAGTAAGGCCATGTAATATTTAAATCGTGTTGGTATTAATTTTTCTATTTCGGATTTGTTTCTTTGCAATTTTTTTGTTGTTTTTCTTATAAATACATTATTTTAAACAAATTGACTAAAAACAAAAGTTATGTGTAACACCATGAATATACCTTTTTCTGTTTGCCTCCAAACATTTGAGATTTACTTACAGTACGTATACAGATATGTTAAAATTTTTATATAGTACATTTCTGTATGTTTGGAACATTTCTGTAGTATCATGTTGAATGTTTAGTTGATGGTTAGGATTGTGTTCCAGAACGGAGACCTGTGCATTTCCATCCTCCACCCGCCCGTGGACGACCCACAGTCGGGCGAGCTGCCGTGCGAGAGGTGGAACCCGACACAGAATGTCAGGTGAGGAAACGTGTACATATATCAGCTCTAGTATCTAGGTATCTAAGGGCCTCGTAAAACTCGGTGATCAAGGTCAAATAGCAGATAGCAATATGTGCATGTACTGGTTGTGAATAAATACGTGTGGTGAAAACCCAGTTGTTTTAGCATTTATCAATGCAATAAGGGAGATACATCAATGTAGGCTGTGATCAAGGTCAAATGACAGACTTAAACTTATCCAGATTTTGGATGTAATCGAGGTCAAATGAAAGACTAAAACTTAACCAGATTTTGGCTGTAATCAAGGTCAAATGACAGACTAAAACTTATCCAGATTTTGGCTGTAATCAAGGTCAAATGACAGACTAAAACTTATCCAGATTTTTGGCTAAATCAAGGTCAAATGACAGGTTAAAACTTATCCAGATTTTGGCTGTAATCAAGGTCAAATGACAGGCTGAAACTTATACAGATTTTGGCTGTGATCAAGTTGAAATGACATCCTGAAACTTATACAGATTTCGTCTGTGATCAAAGTCAAATGACAGGCTGAAACTTATCCAGATAGCGTCTGTGATCAAGGTCGAATGACAGGCTGAAACTTATACAGATTTTGGCTGTGATCAAGTTGAAATGACATCCTGAAACTTATACAGATTTCGTCTGTGATCAAAGTCAAATGACAGGCTGAAACTTATCCAGATAGCGTCTGTGATCAAGGTCAAATGACATCCTGAAACTTATACAGATTTCGTCTGTGATCAAGTTGAAATGACATCCTGAAACTTATACAGATTTCGTCTGTGATCAAAGTCAAATGACAGGCTGAAACTTATCCAGATAGCGTCTGTGATCAAGGTCAAATGACATCCTGAAACTTATACAGATTTCGTCTGTGATCAAGTTGAAATGACATCCTGAAACTTATACAGATTTCGTCTGTGATCAAAGTCAAATGACAGGCTGAAACTTATCCAGATAGCGTCTGTGATCAAGGTCGAATGACATCCTGAAACTTATACAGATTTCGTCTGTGATCAAGTTGAAATGACATCCTGAAACTTATACAGATTTCGTCTGTGATCAAAGTCAAATGACAGGCTGAAACTTATCCAGATAGCGTCTGTGATCAAGGTCGAATGACAGGATGAAACTTATCCAGATAGCGTCTGTGATCAAGGTCGAATGACAGGATGAAACTTATCCAGATGTCGTCTGTGATCAGAGGTCAAATGACATCCTGAAAATTATCTAGATTTTGGCTGCAATTAAGGTCAAATGACAGAATGAAACTATGTCAGCTGTGATAAAGGTTTAGCTATACATTTAATAGGTCACGTTTTAGGATGGACAGCTAACATATTTTTGTTTCATAAACTCATCAATACAGTACTATAAAAAAAATACTGGCAAAAGTATTAAATTTTACTTGGATCAAATCTAGTTGTAAATTGGACGCCCTTTCGGTACAATTATTATGTTAATTTCTAGTATTATATTTTCAGTCCTATGAACACTTTTTGAAAGAGTAAACAATTATTTTTGTCTTAAAACCAGAACTGTCTTATTGTGTGTTAAATAATTATAATTATTTAATTTTTCCACTACAATTTAAAAATGTGTTGTCAACATAAATAGCCTATTTTGAAACTAGTGACTCAAAGGTTAACATATATAATCAGATATAAGCTGTATTCTTAACCTTTGGTCAGATTTCCAAATCCAACAAGGCAATTTATTCGGAAATTATAAATAGTAAACACTAGTAGTGCATAATCATTATCATTTTTGATGCAACTTCTAAATGTTGTTTTAATATCTTTGTGAATCTTGTTTGATTTATATAATTTCTATTTTTAAGAACTGAATCAGAAATCAATAGTTTTTAAGGACTATTATTTTTACTGAGATATTTATGTTTGAATAATCTCCCTATTCTTGCCTTGGGTTTTCCAGGACAATTTTGCTGTCCGTAATCTCGCTGTTGAACGAACCCAACACATTCAGTCCGGCCAACGTGGACGCTTCGGTCATGTATCGTCGCTGGAGAGACTCGAAAGGCAAAGACAAGGAGTACGAAAACATTATCAGGTTTGTGCAGTGTGTCAGTTTTCTCAATATTCCGTAAGATTATAAAAAGAACACAGTAGAGTCTTGAATAAATATCCAATCTTCGACTATGCGATAGAGATGGGCGTTATTAAGTTATCAATCATTTTAGCCTCTGGATTGCTTGTATATTAATTGATATTATAAGGTAAGCTAAGGCCTTACCTTATAGCCTATTTTTGACCTATTTAAGGGTTTAAGTTTGTTTTCCATCGAAACCATTGGAAAAAAACAACATAAGAAACATTAAAACCCTTCAGATGGAGTCATAGTCGATACGAAAAGAGTAAAAACCAATTTAACCAGTTTAAAAACCAATTACCACCAATTGTTAAAAAAAACTATGGTTTTTAACCCTAATTGTTTTACTCGTTTTGTATCGACTATGACTTGTATTGTCTTAAACGTTGTGAAACTTTCGGGGAAACCCAACGGCTGGATTCTATTTTAGAAAGATTTGGGCTACTAGATTCTGACTGATGATGGACCTTCGGGCCCGAAATTAATTTTGGATCAAAAAACAGGATTGCTAAGGTAAGGCCTTATAATATCAATTCGTTATTAAGTGTCACCTATTATTTTTGTAAGGTTGCCTGAACTGTTAGAACGAGAGAGTGAAATTACGCTGATTATTTTGTTCAATAAACACTGAGCATCAGGAAATAAGTACCTTGGTAATAGATTACTGAGAATCAGATATTGTTTTTGTGACGCCATCTGAAGGGTTTTAATGTTTCTTATGTTGTTTTTTCCCAATGGTTTCGATGGAAAACAAACTTAAACCCTTAAATAGGCTTGATAGTTGATCAACTTTATTCATTTGAAAATTTTAACATTTTTGCAATAGTTTTTACTGTTTTTGCTGTCTGTCTTGTTCATTCTTGCCTTTGCTGTTTTTGGTAGGATAATAAAGACTGCTGTCATAGTATTTTGTATCTATGTGGTAGAAAAAAACATTCAACATTTTAAAAACTGTTATTGTAGTCATGTGTAGTCCTTGGGTTCTATTTGACATACAATCACAATTTCTAATTCTCAATATGTCTAATCATTACAATTGACAGCTCAGTTTCGCATCCAGTAAGTCTGCGTAAAACTGTTGAACACCTGTCAACTAACATACCTGTGAAGAAAACAATGATATGCACAGCTGTTTGTAAAAGTGCATACAATGACATTTGGCAACTGGAATTGCCATGTTTTAACACACACTAATCATCAAGTTACAATCAATAGTGCATAGACAATTGTGAATTAATTGTTTAAATAGTGTACTCTTTTGTTTTACCTTTTATAAACCTTAAAAAAGTTCTTCACATAAAATATTTTGTTTTTGAGTCTAATGGTTGTGTGATGGAAGGATATGTGTTAACCCTCCGAGTGTCCATAGTTTAGGCCTTAATGTCCGCCTATTTTTGGCGCATTTGCAAGGTTTTATTAAAACGGATCTGAGAAGCTTAAAACAATGTTAATTCTACTGTTCTATATACCATTTTGTTTGGAAAATCATGGGATAAAACATAAGGATCATTTGTTTCAAAAAAATCTTTTAGGTAAAAAAAAAATATTTTGGAAAAAAAATATAAGTTCGCGCTCAATGAAATTGTATAAATTATAGGTCTATAAATATTTGAAAATAGCCACTTTGTTCTAAATTTTATGAGGATTACAAATATATAATAATATAAGGAAGTAGATTTGCAAATAAATAAGTTATGGGCAAAAAACAGATTTCAGTACATAGCGTTTAGCTAAGAATGCATAGCCTAACCATAGCTAGGAATCTGGCTGATAATTTACATCAATATCACTACCTACTTCTTCAGGATCATCAACCAGCCCTTCAAAATCACTTAAATCTTCTTATAATGCACCACGTATATCACTACTTTTGATTTTTAACACTAAAACAATGATAAACGTAATAAAACACATCAGTCATTGGTCTGAGGTTAACCTAGCTGTTTACAAATACGCACGTCAGATGTCTGCTACAATATTTTCGGAACTAAAATGAATAGCGCTTAGAAACAGACCTCTGGAGAAAGCTTAGAATCTAACAAAAAGAACGATACCTAACTCGATCCAGTTCAATCCGATTCAGTCAGTCATAGAGCCTTCGCCGTAAACGATGTTCGTGTGTCGAAAAATCGACAAGTGACACTATAAAAAGTGTGTCGTGAGTAGATTTTTCGACAAGTGACGCTCGGAGGGTTAAACGTCATTGACGCCAGAATAGTTTTTTTTTATTTCTCTTGATTTATTAATTATTTTTGTAGGTGTTGTCCTTTTACGTTTTTCTTATACAGGGTGTCCCCAAAAAACTCAACTGTCCTAAGGTATCATTCCTGGACCATAGACAAACTGAAAAGTCATGTTAAAAATTTCCAAAACTCAAGTCACCTGCACAGTCGTCATTTTGTCTTTTTTTTAAAGCTTTATGTTGCAAACTGAAATTTGGATATAGATTAATTATCTAACAACCTATTTTAAGAAAATGTTTTGGAAGAATCACTAGTCTATATCAGCACTGTGTTGGTAGCCACAGGTTAAACAAAGAAATTTGAATGTTTAGTTCTATCCATAGTAAAAGCACTGTTAGTAGTTTTAAAGGGTGGTTTTGGTAAATTTAGACAAGATTTCTGTTTCTAAATTCATTAAAGTAATTAATCTTGTTATGTTATGCAGGAAGCAAGTGTCAGGTGGCCGAGCTGAGGCTGAGAAAGACGGAGTCGTGATCCCTACAACTCTGGAGGAATATTGCATCAAGACACAAGTGAAGAAGCCTGAGGCTCCAGTGGACATGACAGACTTCTACGTAGACGACTACGACCTGGACGACGATGACGATGATCTCGAGATGTCCGGAGACGAGTACGACGACGGAGACGACAGTGGTAACGGCGAGTCATGATCCACGACACTCGCATCAGATAACACAGAAATTCTTAGTGAAGATTTGAGATCTCAAGATAAATGTGTTAAAAAATGTATTAACAATGATAAAATCGAGTAAAATTTTCGTACGTTAAGTTATATCTGTTATTTTCTTATTTTTTTCGGTTCTGTAAATTTAATTTGTGTATTTATTTTAAAGTTGAATTGAGTTGTGTAGGTTGTAATTTGTAATACGAGTTAGACTCTTTTTTTAAGTTTACGTTTAAGGTAGTTTATTAACGGATTGAAAATATATTTTAGGTTTTGCATCGGTACGCTGACAGCACCTGGCTATATACTTGCCTGTTTAGATGTGTCGGGGTCGGAGTTGATGTTTGTGTAAAGTTTGCGTATTTCGAGTAGACTGTTCTGTGGGAGTGTACGAGCGATCTTCTCAGCTTTTCTGCGTCCGGATCTTAGCTGTGTTTGAATCTTACTATGTGAGAATGCTGTTTATAGTTAATAAAGTGTAGTGTTTCTAATAAAAAATCATTTAAAAACTAATAACTTTCATTCCAATCCTGGACATTTTCAGTTATTTTCTCTCTCTTGTAAGAAAATATTGAAAATTAAGAAGCGGATAAGTACAGTAGTTCATAAAATTCATGTGTTTTGTATGTTTTTAAATCTTCTCATTATCATATTTAATTAAACAAGCCTGCTTATTGATTATCATGTATACCTCACAATGCATCATGAAAGCATTATGAATGTTTCATGAAATAATAATAATACCCTTTCAGTGAAGTCAAACCATAAACAAGCCATTTCTCAGAGTTGAGGATAAAAACTATGACCGTCTGACCATAGCACTGCAAGAGAATTGGTCTAAGACAACTGCCTTGAGGAATTAAACTTTACTTTAAATTAAGTAAAAATCTCAATTATCTGATCTCTGAAAAACCGTCACTCTGTTTTAGAATTAATAACCATCAAGGATTAAAGGTTCTGTAGTTTCAGCTATAGATCAAACAAACTCAAAACAAAAGCATTATAGATACACAAGTCCTACAAGATTTAAGGTACTTTAAAAGTAAACTTTGATTTAACCCTCTCTCTGTAATATATTTGATTACCTATCGTGCTGAATCATATTAATTATTGAAATCAATAACATGATTACTAATCATACCGTAAATTATAACAGACATTGCAATTGGGCAAATAATTACAATCACAAATTTTCTATTTCAAATAATATTTATTATGTTCAATGGTCAGTATAACCACCATTTACACTAACCACAAAATAACTACATGATCTATCTTATTATTAAACTGACATTTATAAAAAACTAAACAAATTACATAACCACAATAAATTACATAAAAAAATAGTGTAGTACCGTACATATTCGTTGTAGTTAAATATGCCACCTGGTCAATTTGTCAACTAAAAAAAGCTCCCTGAAAACATTGCAATAATAATTATTAAAACAAAAAAAAATGCAAAAAGATTTACAAGGAACTTTAAAGTCTGTACATAAGTCATGAATGGTCTTGTAGTTGTGACTAGGATTTAGAACAATATCCTTTTACAATCAATGTCTTTTTCCTAATAGTTGCGGTAACCTTTCATATCATACATACTATAGAATTTTTTTAATTTTCTTAACACAAAACAGGTAATACGATATTATATGATATCACATCATGACAATTTGTTTAAAGAACTTAACGTCAGATAAAAACTGTCTTATTAAATTTGCACTCTTCCAATATTTCTGATTTCACGTTTTTAACGTCCAAAAAACTTGTTTTCCAACAAAGTATTTCCAGATAAACAGCAATCAAATAATACATTTTTCTTTGACAAATCATATTCATATCAAATCGACTAAAAGCTTGTGTTGAATTCAAAACAAAATAGACACAGTTGCAAATGGCATATTATTGTGTGGCTTTTGTAAATTAGATGCACAAAAATACTAATTCGAAACTCCCGACAGTATATTTTTTCTTGTAAAAGCTTAAGCTACCTGTATTAACTTATACACTATGACTGAGAACTTAGAGACTTAATTCCAATAGGAACCCTCTCTCAAGTAAAGTTAGTTACTAGTTCTTATTTTGGCACACGACTATCTGGATATGCCGATGTTTAAAATCTGCAGACAATGTTATATAGCACACAATACAGAAGTTGCTTAGAAAGGACCATATGAAAGCAAAATTATTTTCGGAAAGTAAATAAAAGAAACGTCTTATAACACTTAAAACATATATTTACGCTTATACTGTTACTCACAAGACGGTAAATATACAAAACAGATGGTAAGTGGTGATCGATTTCGATTGGACACTCCAATCATCATCAGACCCAATAGGCGAATGACAAGAATCTTAATGGCGTCCCTACTTATTAAGATTACGCCATTAAGATTCTTGTCATTCGCCTATTGGGTCTGATGATGATTGGAGTGTCCAATCAAAATCGATCACCACTTACCATCTGTTTTGTATATTTACCGTCTTGTGAGTAAAAGTATAAGCGTAAATATATGTTTTAAGTGTTATAAGACGTTTCTTTTATTTACTTTCCGTAAATTTAATAACACGTACAATGCTGATCAAGAAGTTATTTAATTATTTTCACAGCCTTTCATTTTATGCTTTACTACATTAATAATGTATTGAAATTGTCTTTGTCTTGAAAGTCATTAAACAGTTCCACTTTTTTGGTCTATAGAAGTTAAAAAGTTGAATAGCTTAAATATAGAGCCAATGTATGTAATGTTTAGCTTAAATTTGTATTCCCTAAATTTTTTTTCTGTGTTCACCTACGCCATAATTTAATAAATCAGGATTGTAAATGTAACGTTAAAGGTGCCAAATTTAGTAAAACGCAATGTATCAAGAAATTAAATCGAAATTTTTATAATTTCACTACACATAAATCTTTCTATCTTGATAATATAAAATACATTTTAATAAACAATCCCATACATCTACTATTTTCCAAACAAGTACATAAGTACAAATATACGAACCCATTTGTGATTTTAACTTAATAAATAAATGCTTTCACAGTTAAGTTTGGAAATTAACATAACAAATTGTTTGGATCTTCATGCACGCAACCTTACGAACTAAAAATCTACTTTTGACATTCATAGCATTTACAATCTAGTTGCAACGATGGAATGGTCCGATGTTACGTAAAATACATATCAGTCAAAAGATAAAATCCGAGTACCAGCTACACTTTTTATTTACACCACGATTGAAATAGATACCAGAAAAATGCACGTTTGCACCGTGATTCTTACAATCTACTTTATAACTTTTTATTTACAGATTATAGAAGTGTAATGCGTAAGTAATAATTTAAATATTTACATCGTAAGTGACACTTATCCTTTTATAGTTACAGCTAACGAGACTCTGGGAAGATGAAGTTTTCCTTTTGGCCGTCCGTTTGAAGTTCGCCCGCTCGTTGTTTTTAAAATTTTAATTTTCTTCAAACTTATTTTGAAGTCAAACTTTAAAAGAGCCCCTTCTTCTTGCTTTTCTTCTCTTTGCCATCCACAGATCTGGAAAAATATTTGGAATAAATCACATATTTTGTGTTTAAGTTTTAATAAATAATAGAATTTTGCTGTGAATTGCTTTCAAATTTGGAATGATTATTGTATCAGTATAACACCAGTAATGTGTTCTTTAAAGGAATAATTGTCTTTAAGTTACACTCTGAAATGTCACATGTTCACATGTTGAAATTTCTAGATTGGTTTTTGCTCGTAAATTAAATATATTTGAACCCTAATAAGTCTGCTGGTTAGCTGATCCTGATGTAATATATTTCTTCAAATCAATAAAAACTTAATGAAATTTCGGAAATTTTTTTAGGAGTTAAAACAAAATGGCAGTACAGTACTTTAATATGCGTAGATTTGAATGCCACTTTAATGCTTAATGGTCAACTGTTTTCACTGTGAAATAAAATAAAGTGGATGTTAGGACTAAATATCAAAATGATTTTGGATTTAATTAAGATAGAATTTTTTGAAATTAATTAAGTATGTCATTTTCTTGTGATCTCTTGTTTTAGTACCAAAGGAAAATAAATGCACCAAAATTAGACATAGAATTTATTTTTTTATTGAGTAATTCAAACGAAGCATTAAGTACTTATTGAGTAATAAAAAGTGTTAAGTAATAATATTAAGTACTTATTGAGTAAAACATGAGGTAGAAAACTAGAAAATAATAAATTCTGTGGAACTTTGGGTGCTGATGAAGTGTGGCCTAACTCAATGTAACAACCTCAATTACAAAATACTCAAATTCATTGTTCAGTGCCTTGTTAGATTGAGATTGCACTGTAATGTTAAAATATGATGATGATAGGTTTGACTGTAATAAATATCCAACTAACACTATGTTAAATCAAAGTTTAATGTTAGTACAAAAGAAACTAGCAGATCTAACAAATATTACTCTGATTATTTCATACGAAGATAACCTACAAATGATAAACTAAAATAATATACCTGACTAGGCAGTCTTTAAATTGTGAGAATGGAAATTCTCTAATACTTAATAACATATGAAATTGCTAACTTTGTCATTGTTCATTGTTATATATTTGTATGTAAAGTTTTTAATATATTATCATAGACAAAAAGAATTAAAAAACGACCGTCAGCTGTGCTGCAGGTACCATAGGTTCTGGCACACACCGCTGGGAGCACCGTGTAGTTACGTAGCGTGTACGCTGTAACTACATGGCGCTCCCAGCGGTCTGCTCCAGAACCTATGGTAACCGCAGCACGGCTGACAGTCAATATTTAATTCTTTTTGTCTATGATATTATATACAGAACATAGCTTATTTTGACATTCACAAGGAAAGAGAAAGAAGACGTAAACAGAAATTCAAACAAATAATACAGCTAAATAATATAACCTTCACAACTACTCAAACACACATTTACAACCCACCAAACACTAAAATAACAAAAATGAAACACAATAGTTATATTATAAAAAAACATTGGTCGAGTAGTAACAATACTATTATTATTCAAGCTTAGTAATAAAATTCAATGTTGTTCACGGCCACAATTGCATATTTTTTACATTGATAGCGGTTGGACAAGGTTTTAGTGGGTGACAGATGCATCGACAGAATCACAAAACGTCCTAGTGAACTTCAGAGACAAATAAGTGAATAGTTGTGGTGAAACTACGGCAATTTCAAAATACAGTTATTGACCGAATCTGCTTCGTCATCGTTTGCGTTTGTATCCAGTAGGTTTTCTAGACCTGCACACTGAACTACCTTTTTTTAACAATGTAGGACAAAAATTACCAATTTTAGATATCGTAGACCTAAACAATACCATGGATTGCTGTCCATGAACATCAAGATTCCGAGGTATATTATTTTGGATTCAATTTTGGGCTTAGGTTTCATTTTGTGGGCGTCATTACAACAGTCTCGAATCCTGAAATTTGAAATCCCAAGTACTAAAAGATCAAGTCTCATGGTTTTGTTATAGACTATTATTAAAAAAAGAACGTACGTAATGTAAAATTAAGTGCGGTCTGCAGAGTGCAATTTTGAGGGAAAACTTGAAGGTATTTTGACTCGTGTAGAATTTTTGAATTGATGCTCTGCTGTGATATTTCTGAGTTGCTTGGGTACCGTATTGTTTTGGTTTGATTAATTTTAAATTGTAATATTATTTTTAAAAAACTTACTAAATAATTAACTAATCTTTCTTTTACATTTTTATTTTAATTAACATTTTAGTTATATTGAACGTATCCCATTACTCTTAAATCAACATCTTCGGTATTGAGATTCAAAATTCAAACTCAAATACATTTGTTCAAGATATTACATGCATTGCCAAGTTTACAAAACTTGTCGGCCCTGGTTCTTCAATTAACGTTATTTGTCCTGGTCTGAGGGCATGAAATGGGTCTTGTAGCTATATATTTTTTTTTTTTTTTTGTGGGAGTCGTGTATGGCTATTTTTTTCCTTTTTTTTGTGACGGTTTTTTTATTTAACGGTGTCCTGCCGCAATTATCTTAGTGGATCTAACTTTTCCTCCATCACAGTTTATGTCAATTTTCAATTTATTATCACTCTGTGTCTATTTCTAAACAAGATAGAAAATTATCCATTTCATTAATAGAGGAAACTCCTATAACCTAATGTCAGCCTGTATATATATATTGTCAGGATATATCAAGTCTTGCTCAACTGATCCGGTGGGATTGAAGGTCTCCTTGATTCCTGTTCACATATCTTTTATTTCTGTTCACCAATTATCGCCCAACATGATTACGTTTACCCAAAATGATTATTTATTTTATTTCTGTTGATTGCCTATTTTGATACTAACGGTATGAAAAGAATTGTAGTTATATATTTTTAAGTTTAAGTAGCTAAATTTATGATTATATTGAGGGGTTTGGTTTTCAAGGTTAAAAAATCCATTTTAAATTTACTTTTTTAAGGTTTGCACAAATTCCCCGTATTACATAAATATCCTAAGAATATTATTTTGCTAGTGTTAACACAGTTTTTAAAGAATACGGGACCACATATTTTATAATTGTTTACTAACAAAAAAATTTATTATTGCAGTTATATTGGTAAAAAGTATCACATTCAAACAACTTGGAACATCTTCATACAGTTTGTTCAATATCATTTCTAAAGACTTACAATTAAACAAAAACATCTACTTGAGACTATGTACAAAAGATACATTAAAGCTAAAAATACAGTTCTTCTAACATAAAAAATGTGGCATTGGTTATAAATAATAGAGCTTGAATTCAAGTCCATATTATAAATTAAGTTATAAGTGCAATTAGAAAAAGTATTGAATTGTAAGAAATACCATACACCACAAAATTATTTATTTTACATTGTTGTTTCCTTCCCCACCCTACCCTTTTAGAGAAACTCCCCCTCTTTATTCTTTCACACACAAATAATTTTCTTCAGACAAGATATTTGAAATTATATCGTCAAGATATTTGATTGTACACAAAGAACACCCAAGTTTTGTCTTAGATCAACTTAAACGCAAGAGACAAGTTTGATTCCCAAAATGCTTACATGATAAGAAAAGCGAAACCATTCCCAACCATTTAGTAATCAAATTTAAACCAAAGCCAAGATTTGATCCAGAAGCTTATTCCGATCAGTTTTCACAGTAAAATGACATATTATTTATAATCAATGCCACAAGCCAGTCTACAATAACACAGATAGGTTCAAGCACAGCTTCGTGGAGGCACACAGTTTGAGGGCAGGAAGAGTTACTGCTGCTTGCACTCGCTGCGGTGTTGAAACGAGTGACGCCGAGCGACTGCTGCACTCAACACACGCTCGGGGAACCTGCGAGTAACCATTGTACGCTCACAAACATGCAACGACCATGCCGCAACACATGCTAAACATAAGCCAAGCAACCAAGTAACACGAATGATTGACTTTTTTGAAAATGCTTCCCAATTTAGATGCGATATTTGGATCAGGAGTATAATGTACTATGAAGGAAATATTTTTGTGCATACTGACTTCAAATAGCAATGGTTTGTGTTTAACACAGTAATTTTGTATTTATGTACATTAGATGCTTTGTGTCTCGTTTTTAAATGACAATGCTTTTAGGCGAGATATTATAATCGTTTGTAAACATTTTGTGGGTTTCCCTCACCTTTATTTGTTTTGTGGGACTCGTCATTCACACACATCATTTCAGGGGATCAAGTCTGACTATTTGCGTAACCCAAAAACATCCCGTTTCGAAGGATAGGAAACCTTAATTTTTGTCCCGCACGCAGGTCGAACTAAAATTTCCCTACCCTGAAGAAGTGGGATGCTTTTCGGGTTACGCAAACCCGAGTCGTGAAATGTTGGACTTGATTCCCTGGATTGAAGTTTGTGTTGAGTAACTATCTGTATAAAACGAGTCCTGGATATCACCAGACAATAATAAAGGTGAGCAAAGCCTACAAAATAATAAGAAATATACCTTGTATCGCAAACTTTACAGATACTTAAATATTAGATTAATATGCTTTCAAATTTCAGTTGAACATTTTTTGGTGATTAGTAAATATAGTAGGTATATAGCTCAATGGGCAATGAATAAATACAGTATAGTAATTATGATAATATTAATGTTCATTACTCTTATAATCCCAATATTTATTGTAGTTCCCATTATTATTATACCCCCAATCATTGATATCTTGGATCAGAATAAGTGGTGTGTAATCAGAAGTTTTGTTCTGATCAGATTGTTGTTGTGTTATATTTTGTTCATAAGAACCCTTTCCAATTAAAATTTGTATCTATAATCGTTTGATTTAACTGATCACATATTTTTTTGTTTTAAAGTACTATTTATTACATTGAGTGAATAATACAATTGAAATATGTATATTTTTATACAATAATTTGACAAACTTTTGAGTTTTTTCAAACTGAAATTACAGTACAAGTAATCTAAACTAAGTTCTTTGAAAGTGACGATGACTAAACTCTAGTTTAGATTTTCAAAGCAATCTTATAGTGCATGTACACTAAATGTATAGCAGGTGCATTTTTTAATCTAAGATTTCTTTTTAACTACAGTTTTGTGGCAATTCTACTGAATATCTAATCTACTTTCTAAAATGTCACTACTTCATTACTTCTTCACACACTACAAATTCCTTGCTACGTAGAACAAAATGTTTACAACTACAGGTTTGACACTTCAAAAATCAAATACTAAGACCAGAAAAGACATTTCACAAAATTAATTGAATAATAATCAACGAGAGTGGATTTGGCTTTTAAAAATTCAGATCCAAAAACATTTTTTTCCCTAGGACGCTAGAAATGAGCCCGGGATTGTTTTCACATTACTTCAGGCTAGACCTAGGGGTTGCGGCATTATCACTTAGATAAAATCCATTGGTAATTTGGCGGGATTTGAACCTGGGACCTCAGGCACCGAAGTCCCGCGCTCTAACAACATACTTACAGCTCACTCCCCCCAAAATCCCTAAATATAATTGAGGTTTGTGATGTATCAGGGTACAAGGGATTATGTTTATTTTTTTTGTTGGAGAAAGCAGGCTTGGGTTTTAGAAAAAAAATCACCATTAAAAAATTAAAAAAATTGAAATTGCTTGGATGGTTTATCAACCTTGTAAGGTTTTAGTTAGGAAGAAATATGTTCATGGCAACATTTGACCATATAATGTAAAGTATTCCGTTGATTCTGCCAGGATAAACTTTATTCAGATAAGCCTGCTATCCCAACAAAAATCAGTAGCCACAATTGATTTAAAAAGCAATTTTTCATCCAGAGTAAAGTTGTTCATCACAAGTACACCTTTAACCTACTATAAGCATGTTTTCATATCCCGCAAAATTCTATGAGGGTAAATATGCAGTATCAAGCATAATGGTTTTACTGGAGTTAAGATACCCATAGCGATCATAGTAAGCTTTAGCATTAATTTGAAAGCAGCATTGTCAATAAATGAAAATTAAAAAGCAACGGTTCCAAATGTACAATTAATAACTATTGTAGGGATACATTTTCTAGAATTTACTTACCGTTTGAATTATAAAATAAGCCTAAAGCAACTATTTCTATGCTATGGTTAAATTCGCTAAACTATATTGCGTCGTAACTAAATTAAGGTCATAGTCATTCAAAGAAACTGTGCATATTTAAGTCAATTGAGGAATTATTGTGGACATTTTCAATCAGAAGTGTAAAAAAAAAAACAAAGTTTCCATCCTTTTTACTAAATGTGACTGACAAGATTTTGCATTAATCCCTCAAAAGACATAAATTTGCCACCACCAAAACTGTGCATATTTTTAAAAACAGTTTTGGAAACATAAAAAAAATTTCTTATATGAAAAATAACCTTGTTTGAAAAAAAAACTACTATATGACATTTTATCTCCAAATGAGTCCAAAATACAAAAACTCAGTAAACACAAAAATTCTGTTTAAAATCTTAAACAAAATTGGTAAAAAAGGGAAGTTTCAAAACATTGTGTAGGCATGTTAAAACAATCGGAAATTCACTAGATTCAATTACAATTTTCTAGAACAACTTGCGCTCTAAGAACTAACTCAATTGATACGACAAAATATATAGGGTGTCCCAAGTGGTTGCTATTTTTGATTCAATATACAAGACACATTGAAACACACTACAAGCTTGAAACTCAACAGCAGCAACAAATACATGTACATAAAATGAACACCCCCAAGTCCCTCTTGATTTCGATCAATCACAACAAAATTATGTGCACTTTTCTAATCTGGCTATCAAACTAAACTTGTTTACTAATTTAGTTCTCATTTTGTTCCTCCACCATTTTTCAGTAGTTCATCGGAATCCAATGTGACTCGAGGGTATTTGTTACATATGTATTTATTATAACAGTAGAGTTTCAGGTTTGTAGCGTGTTCGGTATGTCTGGTATAGTAATTGATTAAAAAGAAAACCCCTTCAAGGGACACTCTGTATTTCAAGGATGGATAACAAATTAAAAAGGCTCAAAAAAATAAAAATTTGGTTGATTATATAAGGCAGTCAAAGTCTACTCCAATCTAACGTTACAATGGTTTTGGTCCAAAATTTTTAACAAATACTAAAAAAACAGTGAAAAAATATAAAATTTTATACAATATTACTTATTTTTGGGGTTAAAGAAGGTTCTTATGAACAAAACGCAAGACCAAAACAGCAAAAGAGGTTAAACATAATGTAGACTTAAATATTACCCACTTTAACCCTTGGCTGTAGAATTAAAAATTAATATTGTAAAACTAAATAACTCCCAAAGTAACTGTCAGGTTTTAACATTCTTTATTTGTCCACAAAGTCACCAATAGAGACGTGCGAGCTTCTTGAAATTCAAGTCAAACCGAGCCTAGCCCAAAAGCTCACAAGATTGAGAAACAAGTAAGAAAATAAGAAGAAAGATAACATATGATCTTTAGTAGTGATCGATAAGATAATACTTTTCAGTAACTTCACCCGCACCTTTCGAATATGCTTTAGGCAGGCTCTGCGTATTATAAGGAATTTTAACACAATAAAAAAAGCTCGTCTTGATCAAAAATCTCAAGCTCGCACACCTCTGGTCTCGGATAGTTCTAATGTAATGTAACATCTACTCACTCTCTCTCTAGACTGCGCCTGCGCAGCTCCTCTAGGCTGACTCCGTTCTGTGTCTCCCAAGCAGAAATCTCAGCCTCCAGCGCCTTCCTCTTCTCCTCCAGCTCTGACTGTTGGGCCTCCAGCTGTTTACGCATCTGGTCGTGCCTCCTTTGCAACTATTGCAGACAAGATCGTTACGATCAGAAAGATTTATAACTACAATGTGTGAACTATCGTTTTTCAAACATTTGAGAGGGAGTTTTGTGCAATGTATAAATCAGGCTGAAAGAACATACCTAATCTAACATACCTAATTGGGTAATCTAATCTATGAGACCAACAGGGGGAAAGAAGTTGTACACACAACATTCCCCTTGTTCATATTTTTACATGCTGCAACCGAACCTTTCCTAACCTATTACACTGTAAACTGAAAACGTAAACTTTTTGAAAACAGGTTGAATGGTGAGTAAAATTTGCATACTTCAGATATTTATCTCCTTCTTACAACTGCCTACCTTTTCAATCTACCCTTCCCTTGAAACGAAACTAATCCTAACATTTGTCTATCAACTAATGATGGTATAATTCATACAAAATGGTCAATGACCAGGGTTTGGACTAGTAGCCTTACTGTACACTGTACTAAAGACGTAATCAATTCCTGTTAATTGAAACAAAATAAAATAAAACACATCCCTCACATAGCTTGACCTAATATTGTATTATACTATCGAACCAAAACTAGCAATCTCAGAAACAATAGAAAAGACGTCCTAACTACCTCCCCAAATGTAGCCTACCCTGAAGAAAAGCAAGGAGTATAGAATGCAAAGTATAATTTTAATTATTTTATTTTCTGTTCCTTTTGAATCTAAAAAGCTATCTCTACCATAAACTAACCTCGTCTAACTGAAAGATAAAACTGTACAACTCACGTCAATCTCAGAGTCCTTTAACTTCTGCTTCTTCTCCTTGACCTTCATCTCAAACACTTGCTCCATTTCTTGCTCCATCTTCTTCAGCTTAGTGTCATGTTCTCTCTTCTCCTCCTCCATCTGAGCCAATGGGTTCCTGCACAGACGCGATAGGTTAAATAAATGTCAGAGCCAATCATATCTATAATCTCACCACAATCTGATCGCTGCCCAAAACGTGTAAAGTGGAACCTCAATAACAAGACCCTCGATAACAAGTGTAATTTTCAAATAACACCCTCAATTTCATATTACCCTTATTACGTGTTATTGCAAACCTCAATAAGAAGTTAACCTTGATACCAAGTCTTATTTGATAATCCCCAGAGACTTGTTACCGAGGTTCTTCTGTATATCAGAACATTCTTTAAGTTTTTATGACGTATACAATTTTAAACTAGGGTAAGCCAAGCGCCTAATCAAAAATGTAAAAAGCTTTTATTCATATTATTTGCCCTCTGGATTAAAAAAAAACCTACAACAAATAAACAGGTTAGTTACCTGTTATCATGAATTTATTAGTTTTTAATTATATTACTATTGTTTACAACTGTACACAGACAGACATATCGATCTGTGTGAGTCCTCGGCCCATGCACAATCTTGGATTCATTATTATTAAGCCAAATGCTTACAAATGTTTTGTTTGATTGTGATTATCTGTTTTATGTGTATGTACCCTATGCTGATGAGAAGTGTAGGAGAGAATAAGACAGGTGATTTGACAATGTGGCAGATTAAAATATTTGAAACTATAGTCATATATCAATTGGGATTTACAACCCTACCAAGTAACAAACCTATTTATTTGGTTAAAAGTTTTTTTTTTAATTTAAAGTATATGATCTGTCTAAAATTTCTGAATAAATAAATTGTTTTACACCATCATGATTGAGAAATTAAAATTGAATGAGTTAAATAACCAAGAATCATTTAACAAACATAAAACCAAAATTTTTACGATAGTTACTAAAAATGTAAATTTATTTACAATATTTTACGATTAATTAAACAACACAATTTTATGTAAAATTTCCAAATAAATTAACGCAAATTTATTTAGTATGTACCATCAAATCTAGATATGAGTATTAAGGCAATTTAAAGAGAAAATACAAACATGCAAAATTACATTTAAAAAATTCCACAGTGCAAAACTACGTAAAATACTAACATCATTAAGGTAGGCCTACCACAAACCTGGGGCAAACTTAACGATTGATTTATAATAATTTTTACCTAAACTTATGAAAAAAGTTTTAAACCTTTCGTTAACAATTTGTGAACTAATTTTTAATTAAGGTTATAAAAATCATTACCAATTTCAAATACCAAGTTCAGACAAAATAAACTGTCAAAAACATGTAAAAAAACTAATTGAACATGCACTTTAAAAACTAATTTTTGGGACCAGTAAGACTGAAATAAAAGAACATAGAATAATGGAGCCTATGCAAAAAATCATAAAACATCACAAACAATAAGTAAAATACCACACAAGAACTAGGAAAAAAAATACATCAGCAACACTATACAGTACAGTACACCTCTCTTGAATATAGTACAAAGGTCAGAGTCAGGCGAACCAGTCGATCGCGCTAGTATTTTGCACAAATTTTGTGGACTTCTCTCACCTTTTATTTGGTGATATACAGAACTGGTCAAACAGTTAGAGAAACTCATACTCACGTCACACACAATCACAGGAGATTAAGCCTGACATTTCACGGAACCCGAAAATCACCCCCTTCTTCAGGGTAGAATAGTTGGATTGAAATTTAACTTAATGTAATGTTATATTCAGCTAAGTAATCATATTCAAGAGTATTTTCACAGTACAAGTTCACATAGTATCCCATTTAACCACTGATCTAAAATTTGATTAATATCTGGAGGTAGCACTTATCAAGGGGATTTTTTGGCGCTGGCGGCCATGTAGTGCATTCGGAATAGTTTTTACAAGACTATAGTCGGTATGATGGAACCTGTCTTTTTAACCTTTGTCTACATGGGAACTTCAATTGGTTTAAGGCCCTAGGTAGGGAAAGGTCAGGAGACAAGTTCCATCGTACCAGTAAACTACCACCTTACCAACTTTAAAAAACAATCGCTCGTTTGAAGTAGTCAAACTTTAAACTAGTGCTACCTCCATCTAGCTCAGTGGTTTTAACTGACATCATCCGATCTAAGGCTTAGGTTCCGTATTCAAATTAATACTCAAAGTGTGTGTTGCTATAAAGGTAGGCATATATAAAGGTCAGTTCAAAGAGGGTGTACTGTATTAACAAAACATATTCAAAATAGCATTACACAAGACAGTGTGGAAGCTTGCTGGCCCCAGATGTTCACTTACCAAACAGTCATGAATGTGTTGTTCAGTCCTTGAGAGCACAAACTGAAGTCAAACAGGGTTACCAAACCATCAGACAAGAATCAGGTCGCCAGCAAGCTTTATATACACTACTGTCTGTTCCACATTCTGTCTGCTGTAAACCAGTGTGAAAACAATGTTCCCAGTCTGTTTTTCCAAGAATCTAAAATACTTATAGGCGACCTGTGTTTTTTTCGAGTCATAACTCAACAGCTAAATGGGTTTAGCAGTTTCAAATCAGTTAATCCTCTCCTAAGATGGCGGCAAAATCAAGAACTTATCCGGCAACTTGTTCTGTAGTCGCAGTAGAATCGAAAACATTTCCGTGGTTGTGAAAACATCACCGTCTTCTGCAATCGTGGCAAAATTGTAAACGTCTCCATTCCCAGTGATATTGAGAACATTTCCCTTGGTCATGGCAAAATCGTAAGCAACTACATATCATGTTAATAATTTGTGAAGATGATGATTGATCGTTCCCACACTGGAAAATTTATGGTAACACCACTGGCTGTACCGTTTAAACAATTTTACGTTTATTCATTTGATAGATTTTATGTCACAAATAACTGGAATAAAATCAAAATTCCGTTCATTAGGATCATTCCAAGGTCCCCTTCATCATGTTAGAGCAGAAAAACTCCATGGACCTTAGGAAAGACTATATCTGACACTGGCTAAACTGTGTGTTAAACAGCACTTGCACTCTGCTCAGGATTGAACTAGTAAACCTCAATTGACAGGCCATCAGAATGTGAAACAGACAGTAACATGCAGTTCACAGAACTAGAGTTGGCAAACACTTGCTGCATGAAAGCGGAACATTCAAAGCAAAGCTCGTAAAGGTGCTTGGCACTAATTGTTTACAATTGTCTGAAAGAGGTAGTCAGGGTGCAAATTTATTTAATATTTTGAGAATAACGTCAAATAGTTACAATTTCAAATTACAATTATTGGAATTACAATAATCGAATTAGTCAAATTAGAATTACTATTTCGTTTCAGTATACAAAAATAGCCATCAAGTTTGAGAGTGCTAAATGAGTTTAGCAAATAGCCTAAATTATAAGGTGAAAATTATAAAACATTAACAAAGAAAGGCGCCAAGCAAAGCAAATGAGAAATATATTGTTGAATCATTTGTGCATGTGTTAAATCGGATCCGCGGAATTGGCTAACTCTGGAACTCGCTAACCCCATGTTAAATGCCCTATCTTCAAATTTGGTCGATGAGAGGAACTCGCTAACTTGTTCGGTTTCGGAATTGGCTAACTCCGGAACCCGCTAACCCGCTCTAGAGCCGGGTTAGCGAATTCCGTCCTCGTACGGAAGTCGCTAACTCGGTCCCTCGGCGGAACTCGCTAACTCCCAATCAGAAGCCTCGCGGGCCGTCCAATGGGAGCCAAGCACGAATATTTTTGGCCAGTGTTGCCGAAAGTGTAATACCTATATCGTATCGGCACCATAATGTCGTATCCTACGCTTAATTAGGAGTAAGAGCAACGTAGTCGATAAAATAAATATATTTTGAAGTATGTTTAACCACAGAGAAGTTCTTATGATTATTAGGGTGGAAAATGCATTATAGTCTTACCATTGACTAACCAACACAAGTAAACTTTACATCCCATTGTAAACTTTGAAGCTCGTTTTTCGTGTCTAGTTCATGTCCGGTGACACTGATCGCTAGTGTCGACAAAATTGTGTTTCTATTATTTTATAGTTAACTTCATGATTTGTTCCTTACTGTTTGGTTATATAACTAGGGGACGTGTTATTAGTTGTGATTAGAACGTTTTATTTGGTTAAACGAGGTTTTAAATTACTGAAAACAAGAAACAATTGTAAACAAAACACGACCTCTAAAGACAGTACACCGGACAGAACTAACAATACAACTGTCTTCAGATCATCCATAAGGATGAGAAATGTACTAATATAAGGGAGTATGTTTTATATGTGGGTTTCTTACTTAAATAGTAGCTTATTGGTATGAAAAAGATAAAAATGCACATTTAATTTGGATCTATTACATGTTATGAAATATCTATTTTCGTAGTCCGCCATTTGTTTCTTTTATTCGAATAAATACCATTTTGTGAACTTCTGCAAATAAAATTTTTGAGTTCGTATTTTATATACTGGGCTTGTAGTAACCTTAAATCATAAATCATAATAAAATTTACACGTTAAACGTCATTACAGAATTACATTGTAGTGGTTATGTATTTTAAATAGAGCTATTGAATTTAAATAAATATTTATCAATACATTATAAAGTGGTAGGCCTAATGTATTCATGGATTGCATTAAAAGTTAGTCTATGCATAAATACAACTTGTAAATTTCTTTTATCGTAGGCTATTAGTGTAGAACCCGGGTCATCCTCTTAATTTTGTTGAATTAATATTAATTTTACGTCTTTCAGTAGGCTTACTTTTTAAAAGTCTGGAGTTTTTTTCCAGGCTGATTCTATCTTATCCAAAAACAAAGCTATTGTCTATTGTGTAGCTTAGTACTGGGGAACGGTGAACCGAGCAATGGCTTGGTATAGTTTATATCGTTTGTGAAAGCAATATAAAGGAAACCCAACACTCAAATCAGGAAAATCCGTCAATTAGTTTATTAAAAATCGTGAATTAAAATAACCCTGTCACGTTTTATTATATGAATATTATATCTTCTCCTATTTTTTACTAGTGGTGCTTAGGTGTACAATCTAAAAACTGTTTTAAAACATGTAACATTATTGCTAAAAAATTCAACACATTTTAGAATTAGGCAACTATTTACTAGTAGGCCTACAATGCTTTGGTTCAAACTATTAGGCCTAGATAAAAACTTAGTCTATGTCATCATTATTTGTACACGTAAGTTGGACGGTTCAACGACGAACATTTAATTTAAAATCTATGAATTAATTATGAAAGTTACGATGGTTGATGACTGTATTAATTACGTCCATGTCACTGGCCCGGCCATGACGGAATTAGTACATAAGAATTATGCTAATATTTAGTACCTATTTCGTACTATTTAGTACCAACAAACAAAAAATTAGTACCCCACTCGGTACCGGATAACTAATTAATTTAGGATTCCGGGCTAGTGACATGCTGGCCCGGCCATTTTCGAATTTGATCCTAATATGTATACCATCATTTAGTACCTATTTCGTACTATTTTGTACCTCCATTAATATAATTTGTACCTCAAAGAAAACCAAGCTACGGGCCCATTAACTGTACAGGTCAATGACCCCTCAGCCCGGCCATATCGGAACCTATGGTTATAAGCTATACTACTATTTAGTACTTATTTCGTACTATTTTGTACCTCCATTAATATAATTTGTACTTCAAAGATAACCAAGCTACGGACCCGTTAACTGTACAGGTCAATGACCCCTCAGCCCGGCCATATCGGAACCTGTAGTTATAAGCTATGCTACTATTTAGTACCTTGTTCGTACTTTTTTGTACCTTTCGAGGTAAAAAAATTACCTCAAAGATAAACAAACTACTTATGTTACATATTGTATGTGTAATCATGTTATTGTTAGTGGTTAATTACCCCTCTCAGCCCGGCCATGTCACAGTTTCTAGTTATAAGGTATGCTATTATTTAGTACTCAATAATTAACAAGTGATGCAGTTATTTGGTGGTTATCTCCAACTATTTAGTTCTTCATATTAAACAATATGTACTACTCATACAACCCAAGTAATCAATGTGTCGAGGTTTAGGCTATTTTGGTGCGAGGGTACTGTGGTGATTTTTTTATTTCATTCAACATTAAGTTCACAACTTTGTTAATTTTTTCTTTCTTTTTTCTTAATTAATTTATGTTGTAAAACTTAACGAGCTGTTGGCCCGTCCTACGTACGGGAATTTAGTAGTCAACTAAAACTGAAGTAATATCAATATTTCTAGAATGTAGAATGTTAGCGTCGGCTGCTAGACTTTTTACAATTTTAAACTTATCTTCTAAAAAACTGAAACCCTAAACTAAAATTATGGCTTCAACATTCCCTAGTTTTCAAAATTATTTGTCTTTCAGTTTTTTTAGTAGCTTTTTTTAGTAGTTTTTTTAGAAGTACAAATTAAATTAATGGAGGTACAAAATAGTACGAAATAAGTACTAAATAGTAGTATAGCTTATAACCATAGGTTCCGATATGGCCGGGCTGAGGGGCCATGGATCTGTACAGTTAACGGGCCCGTAGCTTGGTTTTCTTTGAGGTACAAATTATTTTAATGGGGGTACAAAATAGTACGAAATAGGTACTAAATAGTAGTATAGCTTATAACCATAGGTTACGATATGGCCGGGCTGAGGGGTCATTGACCTGTACAGTTAACGGGCCCGTAGCTTGGTTATCTTTGAAGTACAAATTATATTAATGGAGGTACAAAATAGTACGAAATAAGTACTAAATAGTAGTATAGCTTATAACCATAGGTTCCGATATGGCCGGGCTGAGGGGTCATTGACCTGTACAGTTAACGGGCCCGTAGCTTGGTTTTCTTTGAGGTACAAATTATATTAATGGAGGTACAAAATAGTACGAAATAGGTACTAAATGATGGTATACATATTAGGATCAAATTCGAAAATGGCCGGGCCAGCATGTCACTGGCCCGGAATCCTGAATTAATTAGTTATCCGGTACCGAGTGGGGTACTAATTTTTTGTTTGTTGGTACTAAATAGTACGAAATAGGTACTAAATATTAGCATAATTCGTATGTACTAATTCCGTCATGGCCGGGCCAGTGACATGGACGTGTATTAATTAATGGTTTTGGTTTATTACGACATTACAATTAAAGCTGTTTTCAGTGTTTAAGAACTTGCGTGTATTTTAGCTTATTTTCGTAGAGGTTTAATTATTTATTACCAATTAAACTAAATTTTGAATATTTTTCATATTCTATTATTTTCTTTTATACTGATGGCATTTATATTTAAGATCGAAATCATAAACATTTAACTGGCCATTGTACAGTTTAATAAAAAACACTTTTTCATGATTTTTTAATTGTCTTTTAATTACTTTGGGCTAGTTATCTGTTAAAAGTGGAATTGATAACAAAAAAAAATAACATTTACTGTCTCTTTATAGACACTGACATTTTGAAATACGGCAGTGTACGATTATTTTGTCGTACAAGGTTGGCAACGCTACGAGCAGTGGGCGCGGCCGGGTTAGCGACTTCCAGAGTTAGCGAATTCCGCCGCGAGACAAAATCGAGTTAGCGGGTTCCGGAGTTAGCCAATTCCTGACTGAGACGGTTAGCCAGTTCCAGAGTTAGCCAGTTCCGCCACACGACCGAGTTAGCGAGTTCCTGAGTTAGCCAATTCCTACGTCTCGTTAAATCAGTCCTGTCCTTATCAAGTCAATATCTATGATAACAATTTGTATTAGCTTAAGTTTGAAGATGAAAAATAAGTTTCAAGGAATTTAAAAAGGACAAACCCACACATAAGGAAATAATTCCAGGCAGTTAACACACAAAAAGTTTACAGCTTAGTGAATATTTAGTGTGCTATAAACTATCTGGAATTCTTGTCTTAGGGGTCAGTTAATATATTTCTAAGCCAAATTTTTTCCAACAAAAACTAGGTAAAAACAAAATAATGTAAGTAAAAAATAAATATGTGTAAACTATTAAATAGTTTAGCTGGCTAAACGTTATCTATTACTATCAAATAAACTAACAATTCAATATATCAATTACTTAAGATGGGGACGCAAACATGACAGCGTTTATCATTAGTGTTTATGATAGTGGAATCCGAACCACATTTTTTTCTTGTAAATAACAAATTGGTCTAATTATCAGGATAGTAATGCGGATAGTCGTAGTACTCACTAGTAAAAGAGATAGGTAAGCATTATTGTACCGAGAGATAAGTATTACTGCCATCATGAATACAAAATGTTTGTATACGTAATATTTCCTGTAACATTTTTCTTTACACTGACGGAATAAATATGATCGTCTTCAAATTACAAGATGATCCCATCTACATGGACCAGCTGTAGACAGTTTATACAAAAAGAACTTAGTTCAACAATTTATTCTCAGAGTGAGCTTCTGTCTAAAATTCTATTTACTCCTTAAGTTTTTGTTACTGTGAAGTTAATTTTACAATAAGTTATTCTTTCATATTGGCTTGGTAAAAAGTTTATGTTAGCGTGTTAGGTTTGGAATATCAAAATAGGTTTAACTAATATCTGCATATGCGTAATCCACATTGTTTGTAATACCGCAACTAGTTTCGACTTCACATGTCCTAATCAGGTCATAATCAGGTGTTGAAGGATGTCTCAATCGCTTCATTAGGTCATACATTACATTTAAGTCATAGACACACACAACATAAAATCTGTGGCCATGAGGCAGTAAAACAAATGACAGGACACATCAGTAACAGCCAATGATGTGACATGACCGGATGGAGGTAGGAACTAGTCTAAACTCTACATGTCCGCAGTTAAAATGCTTGTGTTTGTGTGAGTCTGACGTGCTGAATGTACTGTATGTAAATCGACAATCTACTGATGAAGTGATTGTGGTATCCTTCAATGCCTTATGACATCATGAGAAGTCAAAACTAGTTGAGGCACTAGCCAACATTTTTATGGCACAGAACTTAGTTAGAAAATAATTAAATAACTTACGTCATCAATCCTTAAATTGCTGTGGAGTACGCGTTTCAACCATCAGGTCATCCTCAGCTCCACTGTCACTAGGTTGAATTTGCTTCTATGTTGCATTATAGCAACAGCGTCGATATATTAAATAAATAGTCCAAACATATTTTACATTTATCACACAAACACGACACGTACGAAACATTTAGGTAACAAATACTGTGATAACACCGTGCGCACGGCTGGACGGGCTCAGGTTTGCGGCTACACTGACTTGGTGGTCAGTATCCTAAAATTCAAAACACATTCAAAAAACAAAATGTCACCGTATCTTTTAAATCAGAGAACAATTTACAGAGATTATTGGGGAATGCAAATAAATCCATTGGAGAGAATAAATACAAGAATTCAGGTGTATACAGGCTCAATTGTGATAACTGTGACGCATTTTATATCGGACAAACAGGCAGAACTTTTGATTTAAGATTTAAAGAACACGTCAAAGAAGTAGTAAATAATGGGACAGGAACGGTAGCAAAACAGAGTACAAAATCAAAATATGCGGAACACTTAAATATAGAGGGGCATAAATACACAAATATAAGCAATAATTTAGAAATTATAGCAAAGGTAAAAAAGGGACAGCGGCTAGACAGATTAGAAGAAATGAATATATACAAGGGTTTTAAGCAAAATCAAAACATATTAAACGAAAAAATACATTCTGATTCGAATCCAGTGTATGACACCATTATTAGGCTGATGGACAATAAAAGAATGATAACCAGCTGAAGATGTCGTCATGGTCCAAAGTTCAGTGTAGGATACCGACCACCAAGTCAGTGTAGCCGCAAACCTGAGCCCGTCCAGCCGTGCGCACGGTGTTATCACAGTATTTGTTACCTAAATGTTTCGTACGTGTCGTGTTTGTGTGATAAATGTAAAATATGTTTGGACTATTTATTTAATATATCGACGCTGTTGCTATAATGCAACATAGAAGCAAATTCAACCTAGTGACAGTGGAGCTGAGGATGACCTGATGGTTGAAACGCGTACTCCACAGCAATTTAAGGATTGATGACGTAAGTTATTTAATTATTTGATAACTCAATCCGTTGTGCTACAATCTCAACATTAGTTAGAAAGTTGGCATATGCGACAGAAATTGTAAGTTTGTATCGACACTCTCTGTTAAAGGCTGAATCAACTACATTCATTTTTATCCCATATAGGCTACACGTTTAACATGTTGATGGAATGTCTAGTGAGTGGATGTAGTATACTAACTTGTTGGAGATGCGGGAAGGTTTTCCGTCGGGTCCGTGGCCGGCCAGGCTGATGCAGCGGAAGTTCTCGTAGTGAACGTTGTTGGTGACGTCCTTGAGGTCCTGTAGGTGTGTGCGTATCAACATGTTACGCAGTGCGATGAAGTCACAGTGTTCTAGGTTCTCCACTGTAAGCGAAACATGAAAAGTTTTATCAAACAACAAAAAAAACTATAAAAACATAAAAAAACATATACATTTTTGAGGAGGGTTCTCTGTATGGGCATAATATGTATTAGGGGAACAAGTTACCATCAGTCAACTAAAACTACGAAGGTGCTAAGTTGTAGCACTTGTAGCTAAAGCACCCATTTAACTTAAGACCCAATAAATCACTTTACTAATAAATTTACCAAGAAGAAAAAATCTGGAAAATCTTTCCCGGTAGCTGTTTTAGATCAACTAAATTGTTAGTAAAATCGACATGATAGAAAAGATTTAAAAAATTATAATGTTTGGCAAAGTCACAAAATATACATGGATGCCTTAGATTGATCAATGAAACTTAGAACCATGCACCAACCATAGATCAATTATTTTCTCTCCTCCACAAATATCATAAATTAATGTTCCATTTCTAGAACATTATTTTGTGTTTTCTACACGGTTTTACACAAAATAAACAGACATACCTTCCACGATTCCCCAAGGGTATCTCCTGCCGCGCAGTTTCTTGCCGTCCATCTCTATGACTGTATTTGAGCCGACCACAGCGAATGGGACGCGGTCGCGCAATGCCTTGTGTAGCTTGGACTCTTCATCGTCTTCTGTCTCTGGGAACTCGTAAATCTTGATCTTGTGTTGAGCAATCTCGTTCAGGATCTGAAAAAAACATTGTGAATTTGTGAGTGTTAGTAAAAAAATTCTGCTGAGAAATTTGCTAAAACGTGGATGATAAGTGTACCAGTATCGATATAAATAAGTCGGTAGTTTTCAAACTCTCATAAGTGATTACATTTTTTGGTCATACTGCAAAAAAAAAACAGCTGTTTTCAACATGTTTTTAGGGTTAGTAGGGTAGCTCTTTTACTCCTTAAACAAAAAAAATCAGCTGGAGTCGAGGATAACCGCTATACAGTTTTTAAACATTTATTGCTTATTTGCAGAAGAAATTAGTCCCAACTAAGAATATTATCACTATTGTTATTTCAATTTGTTTCCGTTTATCATCATGTGACATATTTTATTGTATAAATTACCCTTTAATGACATAGACAAACTGAAATGTAAAAGAATTCCAGTGATTAAATATAAACTAGCTGTTACCCACGGGCTTCCACCCGTTTGACTTCATAAGTATTAATAAAACTATTGATTGGTTAAGTTGAGCTGAAATAAACATAACAGAATGCAGCATTACAAACAAATAATCACAGCAGATTTTAATAAGATAGTAAATTGAAAGAATAACATACAAATAAGAACAGCTGAGGTATTTTTAACATTAAGTATATGGAAAGATCCTGTTGGAAAGCAATTATGACCTAAAGGGCAATTATAGAAAAAATGGATAGTTTTGCGCAAGGTTTCTCGTCATGACGAACATTTTAAGTATATGGTTTATGAGGGTGTGACTTGTAGTTTTCTCAAAAGTTCATGGGTACTTTTGGCTTTATATATAGATATTTGGGTTGGATGGTAACACATTGTTTAAATACCAGTACCAGCGGTTTCTTTACAACAGCATAACAAAAAGGAAAACATTTTTGGTTTTTTTTTAATTGTAAAAAAGTAAATTTAAGTAGGCAATTTTTATATTGCTTAACCTAACCTAACCAAAGTTTAATTCGCTGACACTTATTGCTCTAAAAACTAGTGGTAGTGAATTAACGGAAAAGGTCCGTAAATTGTGTACCCTTGCTCGGTCGAAAAAAACAAGCTTGTAACGAAAACAGTCACTTTACGCCCTAGTGTAGAAATATACAAACTCACACCATCACTCACCTGTTTCTTGAAGTGCGCACACTCGTCGGGCGTCATGGTGTCAGCCTTCGCTATGACAGGGATGATGTTGACCTTCTCGTGGAGTCTTTGCATGAACTCCACGTCGAGGGGCTTGAGCCCGTGACCTGACGGAGCCACAAAGTACAGACAGCAGTGCACCCTGGTGTCTGGTTGGTGAGGCTTGCGGTTCACACGAGACTCTGCGTTCAGGTACTCCTCATATCTGTGGACAAGTAAATATTGTCAATATACGCTGCAAACGCATTGAAACGGTGCTTGAAACCAGGATCTTTTTTGTTTATCTCAGTGGCCTTTTCAAAGGTGTCACAAACTAGTTAAAGCTGTGTTTCCCAACCGTTTTTGCTGGTGCACTTCACAAGATAAAATGATTTTGCATATCACTAAGTCACATAGAGTTAATTACGCATGGAATATGTTTACAGTTTGTTACTTTGCTGGTGTAAACAGCAATTTAGATACAGTCAAACCTCATTAGTACGAACTTTGGTAAAACAAATTCCTCGATAAGAAAATTTTTAGGACAATCGATAAGGTCAATGCTAAAAACACCTCGAGGAATGCGACCTCTATAAGATGAATTTCTCATGATCTTAACCTCCAAAAAAACAAACGTAAGCTTGCCTCAACATGAAACCCCCACCCATCCCTCATTCTTCCTCAGTTATTTATTGGGACGTGCATGTGCAGTGGAGAAACCTCTAAGAGACGAATAACGGCAGTACTAAACCTCGATAAAACAAACCTCTTTATTAAGAATAACTTGATAATACAAATTTTCCCCCTATGTACGTAATTTGTCTTATAGAGGTTTGAATGTAGTCTAATTGGATTCCGCTCTGACATGAAAATACAGTGCTGAAAACAAGCCGGCGCTCAGTGATCTCCCCCCACCACTAGTGGTATACGGAGCGGCCCTCAGCAATGAGGTAGCATTCCTAGTTGTTATTATTGTACTAATCACAGAAATCTTCATACAGTCCAACCTCAGTATAATGAATCTGAAGGGACCGAACTGAATATTCGTTATATCAAGGATTTCGTTAAAACGAGGTTCGTTATATTCAGGTTAGGTTTGCAGGAATTTCGCTAAGTCGAGGTTCAGAACCAGCATCGGTCAATATAGGTCGGGATTTGACCTCATTAAAACACAATTAAAGTAGCATAGGCTACAATACTGTACACTACAGTGTTTACATTGTAAAGTAGAACCTCAATTATCTGGGGTAATAAAGGGGAGGGATCTTTAATATTGCACAATCATGACATTTTTAGTCATTGACTTTGATACAGGCTACAAACTGTAAGTTTAAAATCACAGCTTACTAGATAACCCACCAAAAACCTAGCCAAACAACACTGTATTGTATAGCAATAAACATAAAAATAAAATAAAAAGTTATAGGGGATTTAAAAAAACCTTTATATCAAGGAATTTGTTATATCGAGGTTCGTTATATCAGGGTTAGACTGTCCCAAGAAAACTCAGAATAACAATTATAGAAACATTGTGGTTTTAAATGCAGCAAAATTTAATAAAAAATGAGACAGAACTAAAAAACGACTCCCTCGAACGATTCTTCACTCACCTGGATTCGATGTAGTTGATGACAGGTTGCCAACAGTTGGAATTGTCGACTGCGTCACCGAACCCTGGAGTGTCGACAACTGTCAAACTGAGGTTGACTCCGTTCTCCTTCAACACCACTTTGTTGGTCTCCACCTGTCAACAATCAAACGCATGAAAATCTCCAACACAGACAGCTTAAGTTTCCACTAACATGATCATATTCAGTAACAGTCATTGGTCATCATGGGATTTAAACCTGCCAGTCATATCCCTGCTTGAGCTTTGACAAATATGTTTATAAATGTTTATTGACAAAGTTACAAGTGTTTTCCATAAATTTACGTCACCAGCAAGCTCAAGAAGTGGCCAAGTGAACCAGTTCAAGTTTGATACCATCATTAATTTCTTTACTTCCCCAATACAGTGCTAGCCAGTCTGTAATTCAACTGACATTAACTATATGCGCCTTAGCCAATAACACTGCAAGGGAAAATCTAAGCTACTGGCAATTATGAATTGTATTCCATGATTAGGTCTCTGTGGAAAGGGTCAGCACCTTTCCTAAGAAAAGTGTTTGGCTGTAGTAAATGTGCAAAGTGTTAGATGTAATTTGGATTAAAAATATTTTCACAATGTTTTGCACGGAGCAGACTTCTGAGGTTATCAGTTTCGTTGGAGGCAGTGACCAATTTAAGAATATTACGAATGTGGTGTGTCTGAATGATGGATTGTCAAACTGAAAAGAGATGTTTCTAAGACAATGGCCCGGTAAACTTGTTAAGCTATAAAGTTTTCTCAACTTCAATCACTAGCTCACTTGACAGACGGGCAGGGCACTTAGTACTGAGGGAGGAGGGCTACTGGCCTTGTCATGAAAATGTGTAGCTTCTCCCGTATATTGTCCATCAAATATACTTTCCTCCTTACACACTTTCCTCCTTTTATCCATCAACAGGCCATCGATATCAATTGAGGTTGATCCCTTCAACGGAATTTGCCAAAAAGCGGTTTATATAGTACGCTTCAATTACCTGAACGGTTTTCTTGACTCTGAGTGAAGGGCCGGGATGTGCTTCGCTGTAAATGTCTGCCAGGAACATGGAGTTAATCAGTGTAGACTTGCCGAGACCGGACTCACCTATAAACACGCATTGAACTCATGAATACAAGCCATAAGGTTACTCTGTGATACATGGGTTTTGGTGAAATTAACATTGAAGGTGTTAAACAAGTTAGCTGTGTATTTGAGGTTAAGGTTGTAACATAAAGCAGAAGTGGTTTGGTTTTACGGAATTTTGAGAGAGAAGCAGGCTTACCTAAATGAGAAAGAGGTACTTTTTTTCAGAGGTTGGCGGCATCTTTTAACCCCCCCCCCCTGCATTTGCCCGTCCACATAGGCTACAAATCTGTGAGTGGAACGTATCCAGCAAAGCAAGGGGTGAGCCGGTACAGTACGAAGATGAATTTTACTGATAAAATGTTTGCGGCAGTGACCAGGATCCAAACCAACGACATCGCTGCCTTGGGCCCGAAGTCCGCGACGCTACCAACTGAGCCAGGAACTCACCTAATTTACTGACCACCACTGGACCTGAAGTTTCAATCTGATCTTTCATGGTTGAAAATGCTATCAGCTCAAGTGAAGTATTCTGTTTTGTGTATATAGTGTTACGTTTTGTGTTTCTTGTGCCAGAGTGAACAATTTTCCAATCCAATAAGCCTCAAATCCTAACAAAAATCGTTCAATATGGGGACTAGTTAACTCATGGAAAACTTATGAAGTAAGCTCATCTTTTGAGGAAGAGACTAAATTAGTCATTTCAAGGGGGTTTAAATTAATCAAATTAACAGTCAGTCTTCGAAAGACGATGTGTGTTATATGAATGTCGTTTTAGCAGTCTAATAAATAACTAAGTAGGTTTCAATATTCTTTCAACTTCTCTCTAAGACAGCAACAATTATAATTTTGACAGCGGTAATTTATGTTTCCTGAGAGCTTCAGTCGCCTCCTTAATCATATAAAGAAAATAAAACCTCAAGATTACGCATAGCTCAGATTAATAAGTTTGAATTTTTTAACAAATTCTGAATCTATAACTTGACAATAACAGTGAGAGAAAAATTAAAATATTCAAATTTATTTATCCCTATGGAGTTGTGTTTTCCATTCCTCAACACCACTTAAAAATGGTGTTTGGTTTGTATGTAATCTGTTTTTCAGGGAATTCCATTTGCTTTAATGCACAACACTTGTATACTTGCTGGGAAATTAAAATATTCCATACACAAACGGGTAACAAGATATTAATAATTTTATTAAATGAAATTGACGCATCACTAATTATCAGCTAAATATTGTGCAACAAATTCAATATTTCACAGTAAACGTTACTCGCACTATTCAAACAGTTTAAACAAAGATCACGTCGAGAGCTGACTCCCACACAATTTATATTGGGAGCCATAATTGTGGGTATTGTTTAACACGGTGGCTCGAAAGTTCTAATGTGGGAACTTACAGAACTGTCGGTGACAGTAGCATATTCATCAACTTTCTCCCGATAACAGCTTTGTTCTATGGGTAAACTCGATAAGATCAGTTGGTATGAAATTTTTAAAATAAGGAAAAAATTGACAGGGTTAACAATAGAAACAAAATTTATATTTTGTTGTGTTATGTACATTCAAAGGTTGGGTGTTTCATATTTTCAATAAATTCAACCTTAAGTTTATAATTGGTTTTTAGAATGAGATACAATACTTTCTTCCAAAACATAAAGATTGAGTCTTAAGGATGGAACAAAAATTGAAAAAAAAAAAAAAAAAAAACTAGTCTTGCTAGAGCTATTATATAAGCTACTCTTCATTTCCACTAATTGTTGGTTTTCTTTCAGAATTTTTGTTTCTAGTTTTGACTGCACAATTCTCTGTGTGGATTTGCTTTTACGATTGTACAGCTTTGGCTAGGTTTATGTATTAATCTTGTTATATGTTTTAGGCACTTTCTTATAAAATCAAGGCCAAGATTTGATTCCAATGAAGTCATGGAAACTTGTTTTTACCAAATGTGATGGAGGCAAGCGAGGTTCTAATAGGAAAGCGTCTTGAGGTCCTGGATTTAATTTTGAATGTATTTTAGCTTTGTGATAACCAGAGTCTTGGCCTAACCTAACAACGTGCAAAAATGTTCCGGGCAACCGCATAGCTTTCTACAACGTGAAGAAGGGTCACCAAGTATTATGAAAACTGTCGTTCGTCAATCCCTTAGATAACACTATATTATTATTTCTTGTTAGACACTCACCGACCACCATGAGCGTGAAGTCAAAACCTTTCTTGACAGCTTTGCGGTAGACTTGGTTGGGAAGGTTGGCAAAACCGACATATCCGTCGAGCTCCTTGGTCCGTCTCTCCGGCACAGCCTTGTCCCTCTCCGCCTTCGTAAGTCTCTCCGGGTCCGCTGAGTTCTCAGACGGCGTCGTTACTGTAAACAGAAACACTAGGGTTCGTGACTAAAATTATGTTTTTGGTGCCTAGGATGTCCAGTTGGTGTGGCTAACAACACATGTTTCTCTAGTTCAAAATTTTAGTAGAATATAGGTTATATTTACAATGTACAATATACAGGCACACAGCTGTGTAGAAAAAAACAGTTTACAAGCCTAATTAAAACTTCCTTTTTTAGTACAATTTAATTTGAACACCTAAATTACCAAGCAGGTTCCATGAGCTAGAATATTGTCTATCAAGTCTTGTTTCTATGTGAAATATTTATTTTGAAGAGAACTAGACATCCCATACCCATGTTAAACTTGTAGCCTCTTTTAGGATAGAAATTAATGTATGTGAATTAAGTCATTGAGTGTGTGCTGATGTAAATTAATTGATTTCTGTTGAAGACACAGCTTTTTAGCGAAGCAAAACAGAAAGAACAACCTATTGTAAACAGTTAGTAACATCTGTTTTATTTATGACACAACAACAAAACAATAACAGTTTAACAAAAACTAAGCAGGGAGAGAAGAATTTTAGACTGTAGCAAAATCTACAAACTCATTCAATTATTTTCTTTTTTTAATAAAAAAAAATTGGCAACAGCTGGTCTATATTCAATTTCTGAAGATTGAAATATTAGAGTTGGCAATTGGTAGACCACTCTAAACAATGATTCTTACACTCTCTACACCTGTCCTAAGGGAGCTGGAGACAGCTGATAACTGATATCTGGCAAACTTCCTTAGCTGAAGAGGCTAATTGAAGCCGAAACAGGAACAACGCAAATTTGACAAGAATCAAGAATCAAGAATTTATTGCAACAAATTACAAAAAGAACATTTTGTATAGTTGAGGTCAAAATGAGAGTAACTTAGGCTAAGAAGTCTCAGTAATCTGCAAGGATAAAATGTCCAGTGGTTAGCATATCAATTAGGGCCTATAACATTCAATAACTCTGGCTACTTTAAATAATTTAAACAACAAAGTAAGTTACACAGATTTTTAGGCCTACATCAGTCAGAAACTAAATACCTCCGCCGCAGCAAACCTGCAGACTAAGCGAATTTCAACTTGTCTGATTACATTTTTACTCAAATATTTCCATAAATAAGACATATTTATTCCCCATTTAAATAACATTAAATTTAACAAGTGCTTAGGTTTGCTGCTACGGGGAAGGTAAAAAGTGTTTTTTGACCATACGTGAATAGTATGGGATGAAATAAATAAATTTGCCAAATTTTATCAATATATGTCCATAAACAAGTAAACTACAACAATTTTTATTTTCTCCATAAAAATAACATGGAAATTTTAAATTAAACTATTTTTGAATTTTCTCCGTGACCGTTAGGCATATAACAGTGCTTCAATATACTAAATTATTTCTTTTTTTAAGCTCTACAAAACGGTTTAGAAATAAATTGCAAATTTTTTTGTTTTTAGGGTAAAAAATGGGAAAAACACATTTTTACCCCATAAAACCCCCCATAAACCCCTTTTCCCATGGTCCGATTATGCTGGATCGCGAACTCGTTCGAATAAACGTAGGTTTACACGTTTGTACCAATTTTCATCAAAATCGGATCATTTTTGCTCGAGTTATCGCGCTAACGGACACATATATATATAAATATATATATATGAATTTGAACGGATGGTGTTTTTGGCCTCTAGGGACCTCAAAATGAAAAAAAAAATCGGTCCCGCGTCCAGGTCTTACCATGAGTACTACGGTAATAGCTTATTCCCTATATGGGAAATTCGCTAAAACTAATATCAATGTCAGACATGAAAAATTCACTTAAACTATAAAAAGGGTGATTTAATAACCAGCAAAAAAGTTTACTTTTAAATAACTTAAGATCAACACAGTGTGCCTCAGCTGGCAAACGATTTAACATCTTTAACCCTATACAGTATAAGAAAAAGATTCTTGTGACTTTGTTAGCCTGACTAAAGGTAACTCTAAATTATTCCTATGTCTAGTAAAATAACTATGTGAATGTGATCTCAAGGCTACAGCATTAATATTAACTTTTACATAAACAAGACACACATAAATAAATAAATTAAAAACAGTGAGTATTTTTTCCTGAATAAACAAGGGTTTGCAATGGGCTCTGTACTTAGAAAAAGTAATGATTCTTAAAGCCTTCTTTTGTAGGAGCAAGATTCTGCTAACATCATGACCACAGCCCCACAGCAAAATACCGTAGCTTAAAATACTGTTAAAGAAGGCAAAGTAGGCCATCCGTAGGTAGTGTCTAGGGATTAATTTTTTAAGCTTGCGAAGTAAGTAAATAACTCTTGAGAGCCTACTACAAACATGGTCAATGTGCACACTCCAGCCTAATTTAGAATCCAGGTATATCCAGGTTGACAAGACATAACACCAATGGCAATGGCTCTTTGGTGTTGGTGCCAAAAAGATCCGTTACTCAAAGGTGCCTTTACAAAGTCTTTTAGCAAACACAAAAATGCTCGTTGAAAACAAAAACTATGACCGTTAGGCCTTGTTCCTGTTTCGGCTTCAATTAGCCTCTTCAGCTAAGGAAGTTTGCCAGATGACAGCAGTTATCAGCTGTCTCCAGCTCCCTTAGGACAGATGTAGAGAGTGTAAGAATCATCGTTTAGAGTCATCTATATAGATGTCTTATAGTCAAAAGTTTTAAGCTCATGGGGGCATAGTGGTCAATTTCTACACTAGTTTACCATCCAAGTGTGTACTTGCCTCTGTCGGTGGAGGCGGCTCGCTTGGCCAGTGCCTCCTTAAGGTTGTTGGGTGTGTTGGGTACGGCGGGTGGCGGGGCTGTCGGAGCGGGTGTGGAGTTGGGTGTCCCAGTGGCCGCCGGCAGCTCATTCTTGAAGAACAGCTCTCTTTTACTTTGTAACTGCAACATACAAGAACAACAATCAGATATTGCAATTCAATAGACAGTCTCTTAATCAATCAGTGATTACCAGCTGTTCTGAGTGATAATCAGCATCAGCACAGGACAAAATAGTCTCTTATCCACCCTGAATTTGTAAACTGGTTGAGTTAAACAACCTTTCCTATGAACCTAGGTACTTTCACTCACATGCTTGGTGCTTAAAAGGTTTAATGAAATATATTGTCACCATGCAGGTCTAGTTTTAGTAGAAACTCAAGACTGAAAAAATGTAAAGTAGGCTAGAATAAATCTCTGAGCTTTAAAAGTACACCTTAGAGTGTTATTGTACGCAATAGTGTCAATTGAGGGGAAGGTGTTACATTAGATATGAGTAGATAACATTTAAAACTGAAAACTTAACTGCTTTTTCCCAACAAAGTATTCCCAGTGTCGACAGATAATGTGCAAGAACTGAAGAAGAAACAAATTGTCGCTTTACGGCAGTGCACAGATAATCGGGAAAGATGTATAGTACTTTTTCACTATACTTGTCATTACAGTATTACTTAAAGTATATTTTAATAGAATAAAAGAAGGCACTTTATGTATCGGTAATTAATCATCCCCAATCAGCTTCTCAAAATGAATGCGAGTGGTCAAGGAACAAACATTGATCATTCACAAAAGTTGAAGATAAGTTGCGACTTCTACGACCTTTGACTCCGTAATTAGTGTCAATCCAGTAGCACTTGACCCCACAGCTGTTCATTGTCTACTGGTGAGTTGTTGGATACTAACATATGACGGGTGAAAAAACATTCCGCAGACTCATGTACTGTACGTACTGTAACTCATGTTTTAGAATCTTGTTCTGAATTCTCGATCTTTCCAACCGAGAGACTGGCAATTCTAGGACCTTGTCGAGGGGGGGGGGGGCTACTGGGTTGTGTTCCTCCAAACCTGCTAAAATCTGCTATTTAAGTCGTTTGGGGACTTTTAAAGCCACTTTTAACGTCTAGAGCTATATTAAAAAACCTCCGTTACGTTTTATGATACTGTTTGATTATTGATATTGTATATTTAAATTTATATTTTTAGGGTCCAATTGAAGGGCTCAATCCCCCCCCCCCCCCATGGAACCGCCACACGGACTTATACTACTCTTAGTTTGTGAAAATGCATTCTGCAAAGTTCTTCTCATGTTTAAAAATCTTTTCAAGATTTTTTAACGGCGAGAGTTAACAAAGACTTTTATTTTAATTTTGTATGATGGGAAGTTTGCTAAGAAACTATTGTTTACATTTTTCATCACAAGTAGTAAAAGACAAAGTATTCACTGCTTTTCAGATTTATAATCTAGTCCTTTCTTCAGATTTACCTAAACATAACCGATTTCTGTACCTTAAAATGAATATAGAGGTCCTCATATTATAAGTAGGCCTATTTTCAAAGTTGGTGATAAAAGTGTAGCTAACATAGAATGCAATAATTTTATTTAATGATATTCAACATGATTTTGCAAATATTTAAAATTGTTGTAGGCCTATATCCCTCTTAACTATGCATTTTAAGAGTTACAGTATTCTTCAAAGAATTTTATCAACATAATTTTTACTAGTGAAAACTACTATACCCTTCTAAAATAATAAACACTGAATTGCTAACAAAGTTTAGCCAAGTGTGAATCATTAAAATCAAAATCAACCAAGCGACAACAGTAATGTCAGATAAAACTGCAATATTTGAACTACCATTTGGCTGTGGTATGGTCTATGAGTTACACTTTAACCCATATAAAGAATTTTGTTCCCGATTTAAGCAATAAAAATTCAAAAAATATTAATTAAACATTATTACAAAATCTTAAGAAAAAAAGTAAGTCTCACAAGCATTAAAAAAATCAAAACCACAATTCATTATAGAAAACCTTGTATGCATCCTTAACCCCACATTATGTAGAAAGGAGTAATTTCAAGGAGTGGTTAGAAGAGAGAGGGGGAAAGAGAGGAAAAAGAAGAGTTTGAGAGAGAAGATAACCCTTCAACAGCCTGTCTGGAACACAGCTTCTTCATTTGTGTCAATGAACTTTAGCTCAAGTGTTTCAGTCTACTCTCATTCCAAGAGTTCAAATTAAATTCTTCCCATCTTTCTAAAGATTTTTTCAGTTGATAATGAATTTAAATATCAACTAAAATTACCTTTACAAAAGCACAGATTACAAAGTATCTATTGACGTTTTTTTCTGGTGTAAAAATTACAATCGCTGTAAATTACAATTACTGTACACATTTATCTTAATAACATTATATCTCACATTGATTCTTCGGATCTTCAGAAATCTAACAATTGTTATTTTATTGCTGTATTTCTGTGCTACTACCGTCTTTTTACTTTTGTAAGATACCTAAAGTTCAGCTTAACTAGAAACTTCAGTAATTGGAAATCCCAATGACAAGTAACCTTCAAAATCAACCATCTTTCCCCTTCTGCCATAGATAAAGCATAGTACTCCCTTAGTAGATTTCTAATCCTTAGGAATCAGCTATGTAGCCAATTTTGTCATTAGTTCTGTGCGGTGCACTGTAGAGGACGTGTTTTTTTTGACAACTTATTTTTGGTTATTTCAGGCATTTAAAACCTTGTTAAACAAATAAAATGATCAATAAACGATAGCTCGCCCCCTTGTTATATAACCAAACTGTAAGGCAAAAATCATGAAATTAACCCTAAAATAATGGAAACAAAATTGTGTCAACATTAGCGATCAGTGTCACCGGACATGAACTAGACACGAAAAACAAGCTTCAAAAATTTCCAGTGGGATGAGAAGTCTACAAGTGTCGATTAGTCTATGCTTCCACTTTGAAGATGAGCACTATAACTAATCGTTACTTCAGAATAAAATTGTAATAAATGTGTAGTATAAATCGCATAATTGTTTTACTCCGTTTCAGCACCTCTCAGACAAATCTCGAAGTAGGCCTATTCCAAAAATCCTTTGAAGAAACTGCCAGTAAACAGCAACTTATAACTAATTTCAAATGTAAACACTAGAAACCAGTTTTCATTGCGAGTTGTGAGTATGCTCACAGAGTTGCATCTTATAGTAATTCAACTTTCACTCCCTTTAAGGCGTTATAGTATGGAGGCAGTCTATAGAAACTGTCCTGATGAATGAAAGGCTAGACCAGTTCCCGAAGAGGCTGTAGTAGAAATGGACTGGGAATATAAAGAGCTCCTTTTACTTCAGATTTATGTTTTCAATTTAAGGTCCCCAGAGGTGAAAAACACCACCGATAACTGAGGAAAATGATCCAATTTTGATGAAATTGGTAGAAACAAGTAAACCTATGTTTATTAAAACGAGAAGGCGAACCAGCATGATCGGACTTTAGAAAGAGGGTTTTATGGCGTAAAAATTATTTTTTCCATTTTTTGTACTCAAAATATAAAATGTTGCAGTTCAAAACCATTATGTAGAGCTTAAAAAACAAAAAATTAAGTATATTAAAGTGTTGTACATTTAATGGTTATGGAGAAAATCCTATAAAACTGTAAATTTAAAATTATATATTTCTATGGAGAATAACTAAACTCATGTAGTTTGGTTGTCTATAAGTATTTTTTCACCGAGATTGGCCAATTTTTTTTATCTTATAGTTGTACAAATAACATCAAAATACACTTGTTCCCTTCCCTGTAGCAGCAAACCTGAGTACTTGTTAAATATCATTTAATTGAAATGTGGAATTTAAAAAAATATGAATTGTTATATATATATTTTAGTTTGAATCCAATCAGACCAAATTGAATTAATTAAACTGGAGGTTTGCTGCAGTGTGTGTGTAATGAAACCCCAAAACTTTGGTCTTCAATCGCAAAATACTTGATGTGCCTGGATCTAGAATATGCCGCTTCCCTTCCCTTTAATCAATGGTCTTCTGGTAATTCCTCAATGGAAACTCTTTCTAATTATTAAGATTTAAATTAGTGAGGATGAAATTTGTTAACACTTCATGCTACAAAAAAATATCAAATAAATTCAGACAAGAGTATTTCATTAAAGATAAGTTGAACTAAGATGAGGTTATTCTATTTGTTATTTAGTGGTTATGATCTAGAATACCAGACTTATAAGTCATCCAAGCAATGTCCACAGTCCAATTTTGTCAAACTGTCCAACAGTACTCAAATTTATCATTTTAAGGTACAGTGTTGTAAATCACCATTTCTCTAGAGCTGAATGTTCAGTGTTGTACTTCATACTTCAGAGTCTAGTGGTTCAAGTGGCTCCTTCCTCCAGATAAGTCCCTAAATAGATCCAGCACTGGATGAAGATTTAATACCCTTCTCCTAAGATAAAGAGCCCTCTAACAACATAATGTTTTACTTTTAACAAGCCTAAATTTACAACATAATCGGCAAGATTTATCAATTATTTTTTAATTTTGTTACAAGAAATATTCCTTAAAAGAGTTACTTTAAGGGTAACCTGTCTATTCGGAAATATATTAACAACTGATTAACTCACTTCAATCAAATAAATGGTAGAGCTCGGGAATTCGGAGCTAAAGGTCCTGTGTTCAAATTCCGCCAATCACCAATAGATTTTATCCATGTGATAATACCACGACCCCTAGGACTAACCGGAAGTAATATGTGAAACAAGTTCCAGGCTAGAACCTAGCGTAAAGGATAAAGGTGAAAAAAATAGTAGGTATAGTGACTAAGAAATCTAATGGGGCAACACCTGAGATAATTTTGTAGACTTTAAAAGGCTACAGAATTTTAATTTTTCATCCAAATCTTGAACATGTAGAATGTAGGGCGTATGACAAAAAGCCTGATTTGAACAAAAACTAAATTATAGTAGAAACCGGGATGCTTAACAATAGGATAAAATATTTAGATACAGTAAGATGAGAGGAAAGTGTGAAAACCCTAACTCAATTTCATCAAATTTTTAGCCAAACAGTTGAAGACATAATTAGGATTTGTTATTCAATTTTAGAATTCCAATCTTGAAACTTAACTCCTACTTTGAAGCTGGAATATAAACCAAGAATCTCTTAAAAGAACCACCTCATAAATGATGACAAAATACACACACTTGTTCAATTTACCTAGCAGGTGCAAGTCACCATAGTCAACAAAGAAGAACAAACATCAATGGTGGGAGGGAGGGGAGTGGGGGAACTGTAGTTGATTTATATAGGTTTACTACACCGTCCAAGTTAACAATACACCATAAACTATGTACATAGAACACATTGATATTGTGTGAATACAGAAACACCAGTGATAGATGTAATGACTGATTAGTAAACTACTTCTTAATTTTCACCCATTTTAGAAGATAGAAGAATGATAAACGTAAGTTAAGTTTGATGATTTCATAGATGTAAACTGCTTAGGATTAATTAAAATATTGTAGTTATCATATTTTTTAATTCCTACATTCCGGTTGGATTATAAAGGGATTCATCATTGAAAAACATAAAGATGGATAACCTCAATTTAAAAGTACATAAAGATGTTTAAAGGATATAATTCAGCTACACGATAAAAGATCACAAAACACACTTTTGTTCGTTAATAAATTGTAAAGACAAAAAACGTGTATTTATTGTCAACTTTGTAAAAGAACTTATACAAATTTTACGGGGAAGGGACTTTTCTCAAACCGTAAAAACAAGACACTGGTTTGCCTGCTTAAAATATTTATTCTGACAACCTTGATAACATTATAGCTCTTGATGAAGCCATTTA